CCGTGAATATTGGTCGGGACATGTCCCTACCGTCCCTACCCAAACCTACGCCCATGCTTATCAGTCATTTTTATGCTTATCGGTAATCGTTGCTCACATTTATCAGTAATCGACTACTAATGCTTTCCCTCAGACACTAACTCTACTGCTATGCCACTCCTCATGCCTTTAACGTGTTTAATTTGTTCATTTAATTACAGAGAATATTGCATTTCATTAGACTGAAATCCAAACACGTATGCTGTCTGAACTGCTGCTTGACTGAGTAAATATCAGATATCTGAGCGCAAATGAATTCATCACAGACTGATGATACGTGCTACTCCTCATCCGATTGGCTGGGAGAGGGGAGAACCGTAAGACGATTCACTTAATGAATGTTTTATGACTTGACAGCGTAAGAGAAGCTGGAGCTGAGTTTAGGTTTAGGGGAGTAACTCTTATAGATAATGAGCCAAAACGCTTGAAACCTAAAGCCAGGAAATGTGTGTTGTTAAATGAGACGAGGTTAGAGGACAGACGGCTGCACATGTGATCACTGCCTGTCGGTGTCATGCCAACATGTTTTTAATCCAGAAAGTTTTCTTTATTTTACTTTATTTATTTTTACATGTGCATCACTGTAATGATTGCACATGTACTGAGCCTTTTACCCCAACGTGGTTGTGTGATTTGGTTTTACTTGCAGTAGGACATTCTGAACGAAACTTCATCTGGATCTAATCAGTCTTCATCTAACAGTAGAACTCTCCTTACATCTTTAATAAACCTCCGTTTATTGATTCTGTCGTCAAATTTCAAACTGATTTAAAGTGAAAACACTTTTTTTTTGTCAAGATTAAACAATGACAATGTCTATTTAATCATCATCATCAACAGGAAGTAGTTTGACGATGATGCCGCGTCAAGTGTTTTTAATGATTAATTGCGTGAACAATATGATTCCTGTGTGATTTTAATTCCTCTTCTTATTTAGTGGAAACACCACGATTGCGAAATTGTGGGGGGGGGGTGTTGTTTTTGTTTTGTTTTACATTAGTGGAATATTGTCAAAGTGGATGTTTCTCAAAAGCTGATGTAAATACAAGACGTGCTTGTCAGGGAGGCTGTAACGCCAACGGTGTCACACAAGTTTCCAGTTGGTATGGTTTCATGTATTCTCTCTGTCTGGACTAAGAAGTAGGGTTAAAAAAACAAAACAAAAAAAAACAAACGCATATGCTTCCAAACAAAACATTTAGTCCTGGCTAAGATCCTCCCAAATACATGGATGTTGGTCTGATTCATTGCATGTCACCTAACGAACACATAACCCACAGCGAACAGGGCTGTTTGACCCCAAACCCTCAGAAACTTTAAGACTTTTATTTGTCACATGTTTCCTACTAACAAGTCTGTTTTTCAGTTAAATTTTACAGGATTTATGCCACAATAAATTCAATGTTTTTACATCGCATAAACCTGACATCTGATCCTGGGGGTAGAGGGGAGCGTCGATTTTCTGTTTCCACTCTAAATAAGCCAGGCGCTCTGCCCAGTGTCCCTGCAGTCTCTGCAGAAGCCAACGTCGGCTATGATAAAATAAATGACTTTAATTGCGTTGCTTTGTGTTCTCCTTCTGAGATGCGTGATTTATTAGTTTTAGGCAGACAAAACAGAGCGGTGGTATTTCGGCCCGGTCTTTCAGGGGGAGTGCACACAGACTCCAGCAAGGGTCTCCTGCGTGAGTGAAATACTTTCCGACTTTATCAGTTCCATGCTTTTTGTTATGTCTGCCTGGCCCGGCAGGCCCAGAGTTGGTCTTCGGGAAGGAATGCGGGGTCATCAAGAGAAGCCCGCGGAGTTATTTTGAGATCTGGTTCTGAAGTAGCACCAAGCATCCCTCCTCGCTGTGAATGGGAAGCGAGCAGCCCAGCTGCCATCCCAGCAGGTCTCTGCATCGGCGGAGGGCAGCAGGTCCATTGAGATTTCCTCCTACTTGAAATGAAACGCACAAAAAAATATATTTTAGGTTCTTATTCCTCTGCTCAGTTCAACCCAAAATAAATAATCTGTTCAGTTCTTGGTCATTTTTACCAGTGTAGGGTAAATTTAATTATATTAAGTTTTTTTCTAAAGAAAGAAAAAAAGCCCTCTGTGTCTTCCGCCTGATGGGGATTACAAAATCCAGAAGACACTAAAAAGTCCAATCAGTCTACATTCACACAGCAGGCAAATGCAACTCAAATTCACTTTTTATTGCCTGTGTTTAACCTACATCCAGCTTTCTCACCACGGTCTGAACGCCCTGATTCCGATCTTTTCACCCAATGAAACATGCGATCTGTGCCACCTCCCTATGCAATGCTATTCTGGATACGTATCCGGCTGTTAGCAAAGCGTCCGCAGTCTGAACGGTCATGTCGCATTTTATCCTGCTTTCATGTCATTGATGAGAGACATGCGTCGTAATTCTTCACCAGAAGAAGCTATGCATTGCAAATCGGGACGTAAACAATGGCTGAAAATTTTAATGTTGAAATTATGAAAAAAGGCTGGCGCCGACTGCACATTCAGACAGTCAATACTTCGCAAAAATCCGTTACTATTAGTTATGCTTATTTTTTTATTTGCTTCCTTCATATTATCATGATCTTGTGAAGATATTGTTGGTTCCCATTGCTGCAAAGTTGACTCTTTTAAAGGACTTTTTATGTAAGTTTTAATGCAACATTGCATAAAGATGTCATTATTTGCCGAATAATGCTAAGCTAACATTTTTAATGCACTTTTAATGCAGCTTTGTGTTAAAAGTGTCATTATTTACAGAATGACACTTCATGACGGCAGACATAAACATTCATGAAGACTCCTTCATGTTTATGACAGTGTCATCATTATACACACCCCTTCAAATAAATAAAGTGTAACCAAAGTTTCTCCAGCAGTCATCTGACTGGTTGTATCGCCTCCTGAGAGCCGATGATGACAGTAAACTTTTCTTTCACTTCCTGTTGCGTTATAATCTGAGTAAATACAAATGTTCCTCTTCCCTCGTTTCTTGTGTAATCTATATTCCTCTTTCACATTCCAACAATTGATAACAGTTTTGAAACTCGATCTGTAATTTCGGACCGGTTTTTCTAGTTTGATACGGTACTTTTCAACATGTCGCACTCTGGAAGGGCGTATCCTATCAACAGTTTCTGACAGCACCTCTTATTGACAGTAGGTGACCAGCCACGATTTACAAGCATTTATTGATGATGGATTTGACATCTGGATTGATGAGAATGGGCTGAACAGTGACGCCGTTGTTGGAGCCGTTGCCTTGCAGCAGGAAGCGATCTAGATCAGTGTTTCTCAACCTCTTTTGGGCCAACGCCCCCCTAGCCTTTATCCAGGTCCCTCAACGCCCTCCGCCAAAGAATTTGT